CACACGTGCATTAACCTTAGTGAATTGTGCCTCTACCTTGGCTTGCAGATCACCAGGGACAGAGCCGCTCGCACCATCACTCTGACTCAGTCACACATGGTGCAACAGGTCCTTCACCGGTTCATGCCTACTCCTATCTCCGATGGGCCTTTGAGCGTAGTGGCCCCTACGCAGAGTTTGTTCGGTGCCTCATGTGCCTGACGCATGTACTCGTGCCAAACTCACTTATGCTCTTAGCGTCCTGCTCACTTTGTTGCGACTGGAGACACGAGTCTGTTCATTGGTTGACTACTTTCAGGGTAGTGAAGTATCTGGCGACTACATCAGGCATGGGGCTTATGCTTGAAGGGAGAGAGCCAGTGCGACTTAGTGGACACTGTTACTCGTCCTATTCCGACGTCTTGGAGACCTGCATGTCGATTGAGAGGTACTGTTAAAGCTTGGGCTCTGGAGCCATGTCATGGAGGTCTATTCAGACATCATCTGTAGCTTCGTCTAGCGTTGAGGCCGAGATTTACACTGGTGCCATGGCTCAAGAGCTCTTCTACTTGACCTTCTTGCTCACCGACCTAGGTGAGCAGCCTTAGCTCTGCACCAACCTTATTCGCTGACAACAAGGCTATGCTTTTCCTTTGTCAAGAGTCTCGACTGGAGAGCAAGGTGAAGCACATCGATCTTGTCAAACTATATTGTCCCCACATGGGGTACAACCCAATTAGGGTTTACTACTTGTACTCCTGCATGCTGCTAGTTCATCCATTCCTGCTGCTAGATTCTAACATGGTATCATAGCACTAGGTCCGTAGGACCGTTTTTTTCGGGCCCACCTACCGCTGCGGTTACCACGCTACCCCACGTGTTGCCTGCCTGCCTGCCTTGCCTTGCCTTGTGACGTGCTGCGCTGCGCGCGCCGTCCTGCAGCCCTAGCGCTGCCTCCTGCTGCCTTTTGCGAGAGCTATAGTGACGCGGCCAGGTACGCTTGGTCTTTGTGGCCTCAGCAGCCAACGCAGCAGACATCCTCACTAATGCTCTCCCGTTTGGTGATCACCACAGGTTCTGTTCGCAGCCTGGCCTTGTTCAAGGAGCTCTTGTTGATTGTTAGACTTGTCTCTTGTTTCATGCTCTCATTCTTTCTTGTCGTGTAAACCCTTGAACTAGCCCTGTGGTCGTTTGTCTCAAAGGTTGGCTAGTCGCACCACCCTGAGTTGCTTGGCTTGCCTTGTTGCTTTCCTTCACTGGTATTGTGACCGCTTGTCTCTCTTGCCCGTCTTGTTGTCCCTCACTTAGCCTATGGGGGTGTGTCAAACTATATACGTATATGTGCCAAGCTATAGTGAGGTTTACAGTAGGGAATATAACACTTTAGGGTTGTATATGTATCTCTTTTCCTTCCTAGTTCCATCATTCCGCTTACGCAATTCTAAGACTGATTTCAAGGAGTTGCACCTTGCAAATGATAATTCGCTAGGTTTTGCTAGCGAAACCCCTCTACTGCTATTAGTATTCTGAGATGCTATCAGAGCAAGTACGCTCCTGGCCTGTGGGCCCACGTGCTTCCGCTGCTGTTCTGTCTGTCGTGCGCCCTGTGGCGCGCGATGCTTTTTTTTTTTTTCTTCCCGCCACGCGCTCGGGGCGCATGGCGATTTTCTGCCCGCCGCGCGCCCCGAGGGGCGCGGCGGTTTACTGCTCCCGTCGCGTCGCCCCCGGGCTCCTGACGCGTCGCCCCCGTGCAGCCCGCGAGCTGCCCCGTGCGCCCCGCGCGACGCCCTGCTGGACCCGCGCGCTGCCCCGTGGAGCCGCGCGCGGGCCCCCTGCACCCGTCGCGCCGCCCCGTGGAGCAGCGCGCGGGCCCATCGGACCCGCGCGCTGCCCCTTCAAGCCGCGCGCGCCCCCCGTGCGCCAGTCGCGCCGCCCCCTGGAGCCGCGCGCGGCCCCCCGTGCACCTGACGCCCAGCCCTCCCCACCCTGTGCACCCATCGCGCCACCCCACTATAGCCGCGGGGCACCCTCCGGGTGTGGGGTGGCGGGTATGGGGGTGGCGGGTATGGGGGTGGCGGGTGTGTGAGCCGTCTCCTCCTCCTCCTCCGTCTCCCACTGCTGCAGCTGCCGCTGAGGGGGGTGGATGTGTGGGAGCCGTGGGAGTGGCGCTAGGGGGGTGCTGTCAGAAACAAGTTAGGCAGAAGTTAGGAACAGAAAGAGAGGTTTGGACTAGCAGCAGTTGAGATACAAATAGCAAACCCTAGATTGGGCTGTACTCGCTATAGAGTACCCCACTGCAGGCTAGACAAATACAACATTCTGACACACCCCCATAGCCAAAGTGGGGTGTAATCAGCACAACAAGCAGTCATAATAGTAGTTCACATTTTATGAGCAAAGCTAGAGGCAGTCACAGAGGGCAAGTGAGGAGGAGGAGGGCTGGCGAGAGGAGAGAAGAGTGGAGGCGACGACTGAAGCTGCAGACACACGGGCAACAGACGGCTCTGGTGCAGCTCTAGTGGCTACCGGGAGCAAGGGCCCCGGAATACAGGAGTAACAGGCTCTGCGTCTGATCAGCAGCGACAGGAGCAACGGACCCACGGGCGACAGGTGCAACCGGCTCTCTGAGCTACCGGTGGCTATCAGAACCCCGGAATACAGGCGCTGCAGACGACACGACGGCGGCCTCCGCTCAACCTCCCCCAACAGTCCCACACCCCTCGACACACACCCCCTGCTTCGCCCCTAGCTCCACTCCCCTTTCACCCCCCTAGTACCACTCCGTCGGCTCCCCACACACCCACCCCCCTGAGCGGCAGCTGCAGCAGCGGGAGACGGAGGAGGAGGAGGAGGGGACGGGGCACACAACCGGCACCCCCACACCCGCCACCCCCAAACCCTAACACAGGAACGCGGGCAGTAGCGGGGGTGGGGCGCCGACAGAAGCTTGGGGGACGGACGAGGCGCGCGCACGGGTCTGCCGCAGGCGGGACGAGGCGCGCGCGGGCTGCCCGGGCCGCGCGCGGGCTGTACGGGCCGCGCGCGGGCCTGGCGCAGCCCGTACGGGCCGCGCGCGGGTCCCAGGGGCGCTTCGACGGGCGACGGGGACGTTTCGACGGGCGACGGGGGGCGCTCCGACGGGCGACGGGGGCGCTTCGACGGGCGACGGGGGGCACTTCGACGGTGGGAAACCGCCGCGCGCCTCGGGGCGCACGGTAGGCAGAAAACCGCCGCACGCCCCGAGCGTACGGCGGGATGAAAACCTTAAAAATTTTTCGCCGCGCGCGGAGCGCGCGGCAGGAAGGAGGCGTCGCGCGACCGAGGCGCGCGACAAGTAGAACAGCAGCGGAAGCATTAGGTGGTGGGCCCACCTATAGGATCGACCCAAGGGGGTCGACCTGCTCTAATAGCATGTCAGTAACAAGTTAGGAAAGGTTAGGAACAGAAAGAGAGGTTTGGACTAGCAGCAGTTGAGATACAAATAGCAAACCCTAGATTGGGCTGTACTCGCTATAGAGTACCCCACTGCAGGCTAGACAAATACAACATTCTGACAGGTGCCGTGGGAGTGGAGCTAGGGGTGCATAGGGGGGTGTGTGTAAGGGGGTCTGCGATAGTGGGGGAGGTTGAACGGAGGTAGCCGTTGTGGAGCCAGCAGGGCCAGTAGTCCGGATGCCCTTGCTCGTGTCTGGTAGCCAGTGAGCCCGTTGCGCCAGTCGCCCGTGGGTCCGTTGCTCCAACCGCTCGTGTTAGCTACGGAGCCAGCTACTCCACTAGTCCGGATGCCCCTGTTCTTGTCTGGTAGCCCGTGTGCCAGTTGCTCCAGTAGCTCGTGTGCCAGCAGCTTCAGCCGTCGCCTCTAATCTCCTCTCCTCTCACAGTCCCTCCTCCTCACTAGTCTTCTATGTCTCCCACTAGCTTTGCTTGTGCTTGTGAGCTTGTTCTATGACTGCTTGTTGTGCTGATTATACATCACTTTGACTATGGGGGTGTGTCAGAATGTTATATTCTTTAGCCTGTAGTGGGGTACTTTATAGTGAGTACAGCCCTATTAGGGTTTGCTATATGTATCTCATTGTTTGCTAGTGAAACCCATCTTTTGCTATTCTTCATTCCTGCTTAGTATTTTGACATCCTTAAGCGTGTCAATAATGACCCAGATAGCATGTTAACAAATGGTTTTGTAGTCAGCCAGAACTACCGTACGCAGGTGTTTCTTGACGGATCTCGGAGCCACTTCTGACGGAATTTCGGCAACAAGTTCATGGGAGGAAAGGAACATGTTTGCACTCCACTGCTGGCCTTGCCCCTCACGCAAGAGCCCCTGCAGTCCAGGGTTGCCTTGCCACCTTAGTGGGTGAGTCCGTCAGACCGAGCCGACCTTAGCGTGCGCCCCACTGCAAATAATTGCCGCACCGTCAACCTCCAATAATCGTGACCGCGCAGCCGTCTGCTCTCCACTGCGCTCTTCTCTCTCCTCCCAGCGCGCGCGACACGTCTTCATCGCGCCATCACCACCAGCTCCCATAATGATGACCAAGTATTTAAACCCGCTCGTCTCCTATCCGTCGATGTGTCCACGCCTCTGCCCTTCACCTCACACGTCAGTGCCTTGCTTCTACCTTCGACCAACCTGAGCCTCAGCAAGCGTCCCGCCAGATTTCCCCAGCACGGCGCGTCTCTGCCTCGTGTGTCGCTCACACGACCTCAGTCGACGGAGCGTCGAGGCGCCGAAGGCCCGCCATCATTCTTGCGGCGTGGATTTCAGGAGTTTTCTTCAGCTCTTTCGCGCGATCAAGCCTCAGCATCTCGTTGCGCGCCGTCCGTCGTCGCCATGGCTCGTTCGCTCTCCGCAGTTGCGCTCGTCGCTGGCCTGCTCGTCCTGCTTGGTACGCCCCACTCCCTGCTCGGTACGCCCCACTTTCTTCGCTCCGGAATTTCCTTTCGCCCGCTCAAATTTGCTTGTTCCATCACTTTCATGCCATGCCTTGCTCCGTCGTCCCCTCCCCTCCCCATGGAACATGTCATCCCTCGCGCTCTGCTCTCGCATCTTGTCCGCCAATCGCATCGTGGCCTCACCCCCGTTGCGCCCTGCACTGCGTCCAATCATCTGCTTCTCAGCCGCAACTCACGCAGAGGTACGCATTGCCTCTCGCCTCTCGCCTCACCTCTCGCTTCGCGCCTTCCCCGCCTGATTTTCGTTGCCATCGCTTGCGCGTTCGGCCCGCGCCTCTCCTCCCGTACTGCTCGTCCTCGGCACGTGCGTTGGAGTCTCAACGCCGCGCATGCTCCACTCGTCCTCACCTGTTTCCCCTGCTCCATCACATGCGAGCAATCTCATGTCAGGGACCTTGCATTGCAAACATGTTCATGTGCCATCCTTGCTGCCCCATGCACACAGGCGCGTGACATCGTGGTGGGCGGCAAAAAGGGGTGGACGTACGGTGTGAGCGGATGGAAGCCCAATCCCACTGCCCGTGCAGGCGACGTGCTCGGTGCGTGCCCCTCACTTGCGCCGCCACTGCACTCCTCACACCTCCCCTCGCTGAAATTCCTTCGCTGCTGCTTGCGTACTCTGTGCTCTTGCTTTATGCATTGCCTTGATGGCCGCTCCATGCTCCCCTTTATCTCACATTGGGTCTCACATCTCTGTGCATCACGTGTCCTCCACTCTTCTCGCATGGCATGGCAGTGTTCAAGTGGACGGGTTACCATGACGTGTGGCTGATGAGCGGCGCTGCTGCGTACAACAATTGCAACTTCAAGGGTGCCAAGGAGAAGGCCAAGGTGGCCAGTGGCAAGACGTACAGGTCAGCTCCACGCGTGTGTCGTGAAGCCTCCCTGGTTGTCTCACTCCGCCCATGCTGTTAATTTATGCCGCCTCCCTTGCTGACCCATGCACCTTTGGTGCTGCCACCACAGGCCAGGGAGAATAACTCTGGGGGCCTTGTGAACACGTGAATGCACAAATTCGTGTCTTGTATTCCATCCCTCACAGCTCTTACACCTACCTGCCTTGTGTGACTTGCCTTCCCTTGCTTGGTCCCCTCCCCATTCCTTCCAGGTTCACAGTGCCTGCGACAGCAAGGGGCAGCACACTGTATTTTGGCTGCCAAGTGTACGGCCACTGTGGGATGAACATGAAAGTGGCCGTTGCCGTCCAGAAGTGAGGGCATTGCTCGCTAAGCAGGAGCCTCTCGCCAGAGAACTTGACCTGAGCTGAGCTAAGTCCCACATTAATGAAATTGTTCTACCGTATTTGTGAGCCTCTCTGTACTGGTGCATCCCGAGGCAAGAATTGGGTGCCTTTTTCTATGTATAGTTTCCAAGAACACAATTTCCATAAGCAGGGCCCATAATAATTAGGCAAAATGCTTAAAATACCCCAATCTCAAGTGCCATTTCCTTAGGTAGGCAGTTTTATCGGCGATGTGTGCGCCATGTGTCATGCGTGCTTCCTCATGTCGAATACCTCCGTCAGCCACGCGTGCATCTCCTGCCGTGTCAGCACTCGCACCTTGCACACTCGGCTCTCCACGATAGACCTGCCATGCCATGAAGTGCCCATACCATGCCAGAACGTGAAAAGCCATGCCATTTCGAGCTGGTGTCATGCGCAGACACACAGAAGAAGCCACATGCTATCGGATGGAGCCCTGCCGTCACAGATGGCGTGCGTGCTGCATGTGTGTGATGTGCGTGCCGACAAGTGTGTGGCATGCATGCGGCATGCATGTGGCATGCATGTGGCATGCATGTGGCATGCATGTGGCATGTGTGTGGCATGCATGTGGCATGCATGTGGCATGCATGTGGTATGTGTGTGGCATGTGTGTGGAATATGTGTGGCATGCATGTGGCATGTGTGTGGCATGTGTGTGGCATGCATGTGGCATGCATGTGGCATGCATGTGGTATGCATGTGGTATGTGTGTGGCATGTGTGTGGAATATGTGTGGCATGCATGTGGCATGTGTGTGGCATGTGTGTGGCATGTCAGTCTACAGGACTCAGGCAACCCTCCGTTTCATCTACCCCATCAAGGAACACACTGTTCCGTTGCACCTCCTTCTTGATTCGTTCATCACCCCCCTTGCTTCTTCTTCCTCCCTGCATCACTGCTCGCATGCCTCACCGCATCCCTCAACACGCTCCCTCCATCACGGAGAGTGTCCTTGGCGCACCTGTGGCGGTCGAGGAAGTCGGAGTATCGCAGCAGCACCTGCGAGGCCACCTCCCTGCACACGAACGCGCGCAGCTCCGCATTCCCAATGCTCCACCCGCTTTGCTGCGCCTGCACGCCGTCCAGCAGTGCGTGCAGCGCCTGCACCCGCTTCGTGAACGCTGCCACATCGCCCCGGTGATCCGATAGCACGGCGCCCACCTGACGGGGCGGGTGGTGGCGGGACGAACATGGGTATTTGGTGGTGCGTGCTGTGACAACTCTCAAAGCGCGTCTGGAGACTAGAAGCACATCTGGAGACTAGAAGCGCGTCTGGAGACTAGAAGCGCATCTGGAGACTAGAAGCGCGTCTGGAGACTAGAAGCGCATCTGGAGACTAGAAGCGCGTCTGGAGACTAGAAGCGCATCTGGAGACTAGAAGCGCATCTGGAGACTAGAAGCGCATCTGGAGACTAGAAGCGCATCTGGAGACTAGAAGCGCGTCTGGAGACTAGAAGTCAGCCAGCAGGGAGCGGAGGAGGGCCCGAGCCTTGCTTCAAAGGGCTTGCACGTCCCCTGGATGATCAAATCAAGTGGTAGCCATCTGATTGGGGTGTTGCTTGGGGGCACGACGAGTGGTTGTGTGGCTTTCTTCTAACGTTCTCGTTCACAAGGATGCACATTGTCGGTGCGCACCGCAGTAGAGAAAGTAGGACTGCAACCTTGATCTGAGGTTGCAAGCCCACTTGATGATATGGGAGCCTTCCTGCCAACCTGATACAGGAGTTGCCATTCATTTGCTGTGTTCCACCTTTCATACGGTATCTAACATACAGCCACCTCACCTTATTCACAATACATCGAATGTAGACGTCTCGGTGCTTCTCGAGGTCCTTAGCGTTTTCATCCACCCATGCCCGCCCAAGGATCATCTTCACATGTTGCCTGCCATGCACATGCACATGCACATGCACATGCACATGCACATCACATCACATGCACACAACATCATTCAAGCTGGGTACACAATCACATGCCCATAAAACACCACACCTGTGCCATACGTGTACTACAGCTACTATTACCACCAAGAGTGATGATACTAGTACTAACAAGAACAACAGCAACAACAACAGTAGATACAAATAAAGAAGCGACGGGAAGGGAGCGACTCACTCCTCCACCTTGCGCTGGATGTACTCACTCCTCCACCTTGCGCTGGATGTACTCACTCCTCCACCTTGCGCTGGATGTACTCACTCCTCCACCTTGCGCTGGATGTACTCACTCCTCCACCTTGCGCTGGATGTACTCACTCCTCCACCTTGCGCTGGATGTACTCACTCCTCCACCTTGCGCTGGATGTACTCACTCCTCCACCTTGCGCTGGATGTACTCACTCCTCCACCTTGCGCTGGATGTACTCACTCCTCCACCTTGCGCTGGATGTACTCACTCCTCCACCTTGCGCTGGATGTACTCACTCCTCCACCTTGCGCTGGATGTACTCACTCCTCCACCTTGCGCTGGATGTACTCACTCCTCCACCTTGCGTTGAATGTACTCACTCCTCCACCTTGCGCTGGATGTACTCACTCCTCCACCTTGCGCTGGATGTACTCACTCCTCCACCTTGCGCTGGATGTACTCACTCCTCCACCTTGCGCTGGATGTACTCACTCCTCCACCTTGCGCTGGATGTACTCACTCCTCCACCTTGCGCTGGATGTACTCACTCCTCCACCTTGCGCTGGATGTACTCACTCCTCCACCTTGCGCTGGATGTACTCACTCCTCCACCTTGCGCTGGATGTACTCACTCCTCCACCTTGCGCTGGATGTACTCACTCCTCCACCTTGCGCTGGATGTACTCACTCCTCCACCTTGCGCTGGATGTACTCACTCCTCCACCTTGCGCTGGATGTACTCACTCCTCCACCTTGCGCTGGATGTACTCACTCCTCCACCTTGCGCTGGATGTACTCACTCCTCCACCTTGCGCTGGATGTACTCACTCCTCCACCTTGCGCTGGATGTACTCACTCCTCCACCTTGCGCTGGATGTACTCACTCCTCCACCTTGCGCTGGATGTACTCACTCCTCCACCTTGCGCTGGATGTACTCACTCCTCCACCTTGCGCTGGATGTACTCACTCCTCCACCTTGCGCTGGATGTACTCACTCCTCCACCTTGCGCTGGATGTACTCACTCCTCCACCTTGCGCTGGATGTACTCACTCCTCCACCTTGCGCTGGATGTACTCACTCCTCCACCTTGCGCTGGATGTACTCACTCCTCCACCTTGCGCTGGATGTACTCACTCCTCCACCTTGCGCTGGATGTACTCACTCCTCCACCTTGCGCTGGATGTACTCACTCCTCCACCTTGCGCTGGATGTACTCACTCCTCCACCTTGCGCTGGATGTACTCACTCCTCCACCTTGCGCTGGATGTACTCACTCCTCCACCTTGCGCTGGATGTACTCACTCCTCCACCTTGCGCTGGATGTACTCACTCCTCCACCTTGCGCTGGATGTACTCACTCCTCCACCTTGCGCTGGATGTACTCACTCCTCCACCTTGCGCTGGATGTACTCACTCCTCCACCTTGCGCTGGATGTACTCACTCCTCCACCTTGCGCTGGATGTACTCACTCCTCCACCTTGCGCTGGATGTACTCACTCCTCCACCTTGCGCTGGATGTACTCACTCCTCCACCTTGCGCTGGATGTACTCACTCCTCCACCTTGCGCTGGATGTACTCACTCCTCCACCTTGCGCTGGATGTACTCACTCCTCCACCTTGCGCTGGATGTACTCACTCCTCCACCTTGCGCTGGATGTACTCACTCCTCCACCTTGCGCTGGATGTACTCACTCCTCCACCTTGCGCTGGATGTACTCACTCCTCCACCTTGCGCTGGATGTACTCACTCCTCCACCTTGCGCTGGATGTACTCACTCCTCCACCTTGCGCTGGATGTACTCACTCCTCCACCTTGCGCTGGATGTACTCACTCCTCCACCTTGCGCTGGATGTACTCACTCCTCCACCTTGCGCTGGATGTACTCACTCCTCCACCTTGCGCTGGATGTACTCACTCCTCCACCTTGCGCTGGATGTACTCACTCCTCCACCTTGCGCTGGATGTACTCACTCCTCCACCTTGCGCTGGATGTACTCACTCCTCCACCTTGCGCTGGATGTACTCACTCCTCCACCTTGCGTTGGATGTACTGTCACCGAATATGCACGGTTGTGCATATAAGGTGCCAGTAGTATGGTGGTGTAGTGATTGTGTAGCCATGTTGTGTTTTTGTAGATTCGAGGATAGGTAGATGGGAGCTGGGAAATTGACGCGAAGTTGGTAGGAGAGCACCGAGGGGAGAAATCCATGCAACCAATGAGGACGAACCAACCCAGGCTCGAGCCGCACATTGAGAAATGCACGGTTCGAGCCAGGGTCAGGTAAGTTCACTCAATCAAACACACCTGATGCTTTCCGTTTGTTATCCTTTCGTATAGTGGACTGTTGTTACCTAGCCAGTGCAGACAGGTGGCACACCACTCAGGGAGGACCCTTGAGGTGAGAGTTCTGTTTCTTTCATAACAAACGGAAAGGTGCGCGTACAAGCATGGATGTGTACGAGCTGCGTTACGGCAGGAATTACGGTCGCCGTGAGGAGGATCGATCGCGGCGCGAACGCTCACGTGAGCGCGGGCGTTCGCTGGAGAGGTCGCCGCGGCGGCTCGAGCGATCACCGCGGAGGCCGGCCTTTCGCGCGGATCAGGTCCCGCTCGTGCCAGATCGCCAGGAGGGAGGATCAGCGCGAGAAGAAAGAGGCGGATCTGGATCTGCCACGATGGGGAGTGACCCATGGCGGACGGATGGGCGTCATGGAGCTGAGGGTGGTCATGGGTACCGCCAGGACACGGGAGTATACCGCTCGCCGGAAGAAGGCTATCGCCGTCGCGAAGAGAGAAGTCGCGGGCGAGGGCTGGAGGAGTTCTTCTCGGGTCGCCAAGGCAATCTGGATGTGGATGGAGAGGACGAGGCTGACTCGGCGAATCAAGTGCGGGAAACGAATCGTGAAGGCGAGACCAAGGGCGATGACGGATCCCAAGAGGAAGGCGCAGGCGAGCAGCGCGAGATGCCCGCTGGAGTCAAGGACGACGATCCCGCGCATGCGGGCGTGGCGGCGGAGCCAAGCGCGACGGAGGCGGACGAAAAGGGTGGTACTCGAGACCTGCCACGCGACGGGGAGAAAGGCGACGGCGGGGGGCGTGGCAGTGGCGCGCGCTCTCCGGATCCGCGTCAGCAGCGTGACAAGGGACGTGGCGGCGGTGCGCGTTCGCCTGATCCACGCCTGCATCGTGACGGAGGACGCAGCGGCGGTGCGCGCTCGCCAGAGCCTCCGCTGAATCGTGATGGGGGACGCGGCGGTGGCGCGCGCTCGCCAGATCCGCGGGTGTATAGGGAGGGGGGGCGTAACGGCGGCATGCGCTCGCCAGATCGGCGGCAGACTCGTGATGGGGAACGCGGTGGCGGCGCGCGCTCGCCAGATCCACGTCTCCCGTACGAGGACGGGAGGCGCGGAAGCGGCTACCGCTCGCCAGGACGGCAGCCGCTGCATGCAGAGAGACATGGAGGCGGCTACCGCTCGCCAGTGCCACGGCAGCACCAGGACGGTGGGCGCAGGGGAAGTGTGCGCTCGCCGGATCCGCGGAGGTACCACGACTGGAGGAGCGGAGGGGAGCTGCGCTCTCCAGATCCGCGTTACCCTCGTGATGAGAGACGCGGGGGCGGCTACCGCTCGCCTGACCCGCAGCGGTATCATGGAGAGAGGTGGGGAAGCGAAGCGCGCTCGCCCGACTGGCACAGGCAACATGGAGAAAGTCGGGAAGACAGATTCGGCTCGCAGCATCGGCAACAGAGCAGGGATGAGGGGCGCGGCGGCGGGCATCACTCACCTGAGCGGTACTGGCAGCATGACGGAAGACGTGCTGGTGAGGGAGGACGGGAGCAACGCGACAGCAGAGGGGGAAGCAGCGGGCTGATGCACAGCCTGGAGCGGGCAAGAGAGGCAAGGGAAGGAATACTGCGGGCGAGAGAGAGGGGAGCACCAGGGAGATCAACAGGAGGGCCGAGCGAGGCGTGGGGAGAAGGCAAGGGAAGCACGGCAATGGGTACGAGAGTGGAGGTGCCAGCACGTTTCTCAGGAGATCAGCGTGCGGGCCCCACGCTGAAGAACTATCTGATGCAAGTGGGCAACGTGCGGTACAGATGCGAAAGGAGCGGCATGGACTCGGTGGACTTTTTCCTGAGTCTGCCAAACACGCTGGAGGGGGAGGCAGAGACATTGTACAGGATGAAGATGGATGAGTTACTGGAAAGGGCAGGAAGGTACGGGGAGGACCCTACTGAAGCATTCCTGAGGCGGCTGAAGCAGCAGTTTCCAGGACACACTGCAGAGAAGATTAGGGAATTCCAGGATTTCAGGAAGGGGCGGGGCGAGTCACTACTCACCTACTACAACCGGCTGGTCAACCTGGCAGAGGATGTGACTTGCGCAGACATGGCCCTTCTAGTGAGTAAATTCCTGGATGGGCTGGAGTGCACTTTGGGAAGCGGACTGCGGATGAAGGTGTATGAAAGGGGGGCCGACACGACACTTGAGGAGGTGTTTGAACTGGCAGAGAAGATGGAGCTGGCGCAGAGGAATATGAAGCATACAGGCCCCGACCGGCGGAGCGAGGCAGGGGACCTACATGGGCAGCAGCCATGATACCGGAGGAGAAGGAAAAGGCAGCGGGAAGAGGGGAGACCAGGCCTGACACACGGACGTGTCACAGATGCGGGCAGCCAGGACACCTGCGCAGAGACTGCAAGAACTGCGACTCTTGTGGCAAGCCAGGGCATCGGCGGCGGGAATGTCCCACGGCACCAAAGTGTGAAGTCTGTGGGAAAGGAGGGCACGCGGCAAAGGAGTGTTATCAACGAGAGGGAGCGGCGAAGAAGACACCAGAAGAGCTAGAGAAGCAGATCAGCCGGCTGCAAGCCCAACTGCAGGCAACGGGACCACGACGGGAAGCAGAGGCGGGGATGTACGCCAAGGAAGAGGAGGAGGAAGATGTGGAGCAGGACGAGGGAGCCGCGTTCATGGTCTGGGCGGGAAGAGAAGAGAATGAGCTGGAGCATGAGGAGCAACCAGCGTGCATGGCGTGGCGAGGAAGGGAGGAGATGGGGTTGCGCAGCGGAGGAAAGGATGCACGGAAGGAGCAGCCGAGAAAGGAGCGGGAGAGAGGACAGAAACCGGAAGAAAAGGAAGAAAAGTGCACAGCGGCACGGCACCCCCAGGAGAGGTTGGCTTGCCAGACTTCCGTGCTGCTGATCCAAGGAGGTGCGTTGTCAGTGGAAGGGGAGAAGGCTAAGACGGCTATCATAGACACTGGAGCGCAGAGCGTGATACTAGGAAAGGGGATGGCCGAGAAGCTGGGACTGTGGGCACCAGACAGGCATGTGGTGAAGGGGATGCTAGTGATGACAGCAGAGGGGGGAGAGTCGAAGTGGATGCCGTGTACTAGGACTCCAATAGAACTGACGGTGCTGAAGGGGGAGAAACATGAGACGCCGGTTAGAATCAGGTGTGGGATCTCAGAGTCGGAAGATTTTGACGTCCTGGTGGGCACGGAGATGATTTTTGCATTGGGCATGACCATCTGTTTTTGGAGGGAGACAGTGGAGTTTAGAACCAGGTGGTGGAGGAAGGGTGAGCCACTGGGGCAGCTGCCGGTGCAGTTTGTCAGGACCGAGCCAAAGAGGGCCTACAGGGCAGATCTGAAGGAGACGACAGCGAAGCAGGGGGCACAGAAGGCCGCAACGGGCAAGGGACAGGGTGGGGAGCCCAGGATGCACTTCATGGACGAGCCTAGCCAGCAGACTGATTGGCAGCAACCCATTCGGCTGGTGGAGCTGTTCGGGGGAATAGGGGCGGGACTGGCAGCAGTGGTGCGAAATGGAATTGCAGTGAAGCAGTGGATTTACGTGGAAAAGGCACCAGAAGTAAAGAAAATGGCGGAGCATCAGGCGTGGGAGTTGCACAGAGAGTTCCCAGAACTGCTGAAGGGAGAGGTGATCAAGGCAGCAATGAGCAGAGGAGTGAACGACGGAAGCGGAAGTAGTAAGCTGGGGGCATGTGGACCTGATCGTGGCGGGGTGGGAATGCCAAGGGGTATCATGGGCAGGGAAGGGCAAGGGTGAGCAAGACCTACGAACACAACTGATGGAGGACCTGTTCAGAGTTATGGAGTGGGTGCAGGCTAGGCAAGGCAGAGTGGCTTACTTGCTGGAGCACTTAGACATGGAAGGAGACGTGAGAGAACCGATCAGACTGGTAAGGGAGAGAGTGACCAGACAGGTGGGGAGAGGGGTGAGCAGTGATGCGGCGCGGATGGGAGCATATGCGCACAGGCTCAGGATGTACTGGCAGAATGTGGTGCCAGCAGAAGACCTGCAGAAAGAAATAGAGAAGGTACAGAGAGCTGGGGGACGGAAGCTGAGCGACATATTGGAGCCAGGAAGAACGCCAGCACCAGTGACTAAGAAGAGCTACAGCAGGCATTATCCATGCAACCAGGTGGGACAGGAAAGGCAGGCGCTGCCTACCCTGGTGTCAGATGAGGGGGCAGCAGGCTATCAGATGGACGGGGAGCAGCCAGGCCCAGGATTGGTGCATGACCACAGGAAGGGACGGTGGGAAGAGCCCACGGCCTTGGAGAGGGAGCTGGCCATGGGATACAAGGAGAACGCCACGGCAGCCCCTGGCGTGAGCGAGAAGGAACGGAGACGGGCATTGGGGAATGCCATGGATGGATACATGATGAGGTGGTTGGTGCAGCGGATGTGGAAGGAAACAGTGCTGCACTGGGGATTGAAGGAGGGAGAGAACACAGTGGCGACGGTTAGGCAAGGGGTGTGGGCCTGCCTGCAGAAAGAGGAGCCAAAGTGGAAGATAGGGGAGAGCATGAGCGAAGAAGGGAAGGCGGCAATGCGGGCACTGCTGGCAAAACATCGGAAGGGCTTCGCCTTCACACTGCTGGAGTTGGGGAAGTGCAAGATCAAAGAGATGGCGCTGAAATTGAGTAGTGATGAGCCGGTGTTCCACCGCAGGAGGAAGATGCCACCAGGGGATGAAGCGATCTGCAGGGAGAAGATAAAGGAGTTACTGGAAGCCGGACTGATCAGGAGGTCAGAGTCCGAATACGCCACCCCAACCGTGGTGGCAGCCAGGAAGGACTTGACAGGCGAGGTGCTGAGTAGGAGAATGTGCGGGGATTACAGGGATCTCAACAAAATTACAGTGCCAGATAGATACCCAATGCCGATGGCAGAAGAGCTCTTTGACAAGTTGGCCGACGGGGTGTTCTTCACGACGCTGGACCTGCGCCAGGGATTCAATCAAATCAAGATCAGAGAGGAGGACTTGAGGAAGACGGCCTTCCACGGACCGGATGGGCTGTACGAGTGGCTGTACATGCCCTTCGGTCTGAGGAACGCCTCGGCGGTGTTCCAGAGAGTCATGGACGCGGTGTTGCGGGGGATAGAACATGCGGCGTGCTATATAGATGATGTCGTGATCTTCAGCCTGACCGAACAACAGCACCTGGAAGACGTGGAGAGGACCCTGACCGCCATAGAAGGGGCAGGGCTCACCTGCCATCCCAACAAATGCAGGTGGGGGGAGCGGACAGTGCAGTACCTGGGGTATGAGGTCACGGGGGGGCAGATTGGTATCCAACAAGCGAAGGTACAAGTGTTGGACAGGCTGAGGGAACCGAGAGACAAGTCAGGGCTGCGGGCGGTCTTGGGCTTCCTCAGCTACTATAGGCGCTTCGTGCCGAACTTCAGCAAGCGAGCGACAGTACTCAATGGGATGCTGCGGGAGGACAAGGCATGGGAATGGGGAGAGGAGCTGAGACAGGCGCTGCAAGACCTCATGACAGCCGTAAAGACAGCGACAGTGCTGCGGCTGCCAGCAGCAGACCAGCCCTTCATCCTTTACACCGACTGGAGTAGCCAAGGGATGGGGGCAATATTGTGCTAAGAGGTGGAGGGAGTGGAGAAGGTGGTGGCCTACGCCAGCAGGAGCTGCAATCCAGCGGAAGCACAGTACAGCTCGTATATTGGGGAAGGGCTGGCGGCGGTGTGGGCGGTCGGGCATTTCCGGATATACCTGCAGGGCAGAGAATTCACCCTAGTCACTGACCATCAGCCACTCACATGGCTGATGACCACACCAGGGCTGACAGGGAGAAACGCGCGGTGGGCAGTAAAGCTGCAGGAGTATGATTTTAAGATCAGGCACAGGCCGGGAAAGAGGCTGCGGCACGTTGACGGCCTCTCCCGCAACCCACCGCCGCTGGAGACGCAGCAGGCTACACAGGGGACAGAAGAGACAAAGCAGGAGCCGGCGCAGAACTTGATCCTACTGGCAAGAGAGGTGGAGCAGACAGGTGCGAAGGGAGTAAGGGGCCAGCCGACATCTGGTTGGATGCAAAAGCAATGCAATGGGTGAAGGGAGAGACAGAAGAAGATGAAACGGTGCCTGAGAGAGTGAGGGCACGAGGGCACCACTACAGGTGGTATCAGCAGCAGCTGCAGATCAAGACGGAGGATGGCTGGAAGCTGGTGCCAGCGCCCGAGGACCGTGAAGCAGTGATCAAGGAAGTGCACACTAAGCTAGGACACTTCGGGCACGAGAGGATTGTACACCTGCTGAAGACGGGCTGGTGGTGGGAAGGGATGCGCAGGCAAGTAAAAGAGTGGGTGGAGGGGTGCGAGGCATGTCAGAGGAGCAGAGCAAACCTGACGCAGGCCAAAGCGGAGCTGCATTCACTGCCAATCTGCGGGCTAGGGTTCCGATGGTCCCTGGACCTCGCGGGAGAGCTGCCGCTGAGTCGGAGCGGGAATCAGTACATAGTGTTTATGGTGGAGCATGTGAGCAAGTGGCTGGAGGTGCGAGCTATCCCCAGCAAGAGCGCGAGGCATATTGCAGCAGCATTCAAAGCACAGGTAGTGTGTCGATTTGGAGCGTGCGGGGAGGTACTCACAGACCAGGGAACAGAGTTCCAGGGGGAGTTCAAGAAATTGCTGGTGGAGTCTGGCATCACGCACCGAAAGACCTCCCGCTACCACCCCCAGAGCGACGGGCTAACTGAGCGGGCTGTACAGACCTTCAAGTGAGGGCTGCGAGCTTACGGGGAGCAGAGGAAGAGAGATTGGGATGAGGAGTTGGACTGGATAGCAGCAGGGTACAGGTTCGGGAAGCAGGCAGCGTTGAAGGATCACTCCCCGTACAGCCTGCTGTTCGGACGAGAGCCGATCCTGCCAGTGGGAGCACCACGGGTGCTGACAGATACCGTGACAGCAGGCACGATCAGGAACTGGGTGGCCCTGTCCGAGGTGAGAGCGCGTTACATGCGCTACATGATGCCAGCCGCGTTGGAGAATCTGCACACCGCACAGCTCAGAGATGCAAGAAGATATGAACAGAGGCAACAAAAAGGGGAGGGCAGAACAGCAAGGGATGTTTGCGAGGGACAAGAGGTCTACTTAAAAAGGGCCAAACAGGATACTCTTGACGTGGGGTTAGGGACCGTCCGCTGGAAAGTCAAGGAGGTGCGCCCCTCAGGGGTGCTGGTTCTGGAAAACGACACAGGGGAGCAACTGAGGGAGCATCAGACGAACACGGCAGTGATCAGAGGGACCGGGCCTCAGCGCATTGGTCCTGTGACCCGCGCTCAAGCCGCTCGAGCACGGGCACAGGAGGGGGCAGAGAGTGGCTGAGGCAACAGAAGGAGCTAAAGGAAGATGAGCATGAGGACTAATGCAGATGAGGGTACAACTGTATCTCCGACAGCTGTCACCGAATATGCACTTTTGTGCATATAAGGTGCCAGTAGTATGGTGGTGTAGTGATTGTGTAGCCATGTTGTGTTTTGTAGATTCGAGGATAGGTAGATGGGAGCTGGGAAATTGACGCGAAGTTGGTAGGAGAGCACCGAGGGGAGAAATCCATGCAACCAATGAGGACGAACCAACCCAGGCTCGAGCCGCACATTGAGAAATGCACGGTTCGAGCCAGGGTCAGGTAAGTTCACTCAATCAAACACACCTGATGCTTTCCGTTTGTTATCCTTTCGTATAGTGGACTGTTGTTACCTAGCCAGTGCAGACAGGTGGCACACCACTCAGGGAGGACCCTTGAGGTGAGAGTGGCTGAGGCAACAGAAGGAGCTAAAGGAAGATGAGCATGAGGACTAATGCAGATGAGGGTACAACTGTATCTCCGACAGTACTCACTCCTCCACCTTGCGCTGGATGTACTCACTCCTCCACCTTGCGCTGGATGTACTCACTCCTCCACCTTGCGCTGGATGTACTCACTCCTCCACCTTGCGCTGGATGTACTCACTCCTCCACCTTGCGCTGGATGTACTCACTCCTCCACCTTGCGCTGGATGTACTCACTCCTCCACCTTGCGCTGGATGTACTCACTCCTCCACCTTGCGCTGGATGTACTCACTCCTCCACCTTGCGCTGGATGTACTCACTCCTCCACCTTGCGCTGGATGTACTCACTCCTCCACCTTGCGCTGGATGTACTCACTCCTCCACCTTGCGCTGGATGTACTCACTCCTCCACCTTGCGCTGGATGTACTCACTCCTCCACCTTGCGCTGGATGTACTCACTCCTCCACCTTGCGCTGGATGTACTCACTCCTCCACCTTGCGCTGGATGTACTCACTCCTCCACCTTGCGCTGGATGTACTCACTCCTCCACCTTGCGCTGGATGTACTCACTCCTCCACCTTGCGCTGGATGTACTCACTCCTCCACCTTGCGCTGGATGTACTCACTCCTCCACCTTGCGCTGGATGTACTCACTCCTCCACCTTGCGCTGGATGTACTCACTCCTCCACCTTGCGCTGGATGTACTCACTCCTCCACCTTGCGCTGGATGTACTCACTCCTCCACCTTGCGCTGGATGTACTCACTCCTCCACCTTGCGCTGGATGTACTCACTCCTCCACCTTGCGCTGGATGTACTCACTCCTCCACCTTGCGCTGGATGTACTCACTCCTCCACCTTGCGCTGGATGTACTCACTCCTCCACCTTGCGCTGGATGTACTCACTCCTCCACCTTGCGCTGGATGTACTCACTCCTCCACCTTGCGCTGGATGTACTCACTCCTCCACCTTGCGCTGGATGTACTCACTCCTCCACCTTGCGCTGGATGTACTCACTCCTCCACCTTGCGCTGGATGTACTCACTCCTCCACCTTGCGCTGGATGTACTCACTCCTCCACCTTGCGCTGGATGTACTCACTCCTCCACCTTGCGCTGGATGTACTCACTCCTCCACCTTGCGCTGGATGTACTCACTCCTCCACCTTGCGCTGGATGTACTCACTCCTCCACCTTGCGCTGGATGTACTCACTCCTCCACCTTGCGCTGGATGTACTCACTCCTCCACCTTGCGCTGGATGTACTCACTCCTCCACCTTGCGCTGGATGTACTCACTCCTCCACCTTGCGCTGGATGTACTCACTCCTCCACCTTGCGCTGGATGTACTCACTCCTCCACCTTGCGCTGGATGTACTCACTCCTCCACCTTGCGCTGGATGTACTCACTCCTCCACCTTGCGCTGGATGTACTCACTCCTCCACCTTGCGCTGGATGTACTCACTCCTCCACCTTGCGCTGGATGTACTCACTCCTCCACCTTGCGCTGGATGTACTCACTCCTCCACCTTGCGCTGGATGTACTCACTCCTCCACCTTGCGCTGGATGTACTCACTCCTCCACCTTGCGCTGGATGTACTCACTCCTCCACCTTGCGCTGGATGTACTCACTCCTCCACCTTGCGCTGGATGTACTCACTCCTCCACCTTGCGCTGGATGTACTCACTCCTCCACCTTGCGCTGGATGTACTCACTCCTCCACCTTGCGCTGGATGTACTCACTCCTCCACCTTGCGCTGGATGTACTCACTCCTCCACCTTGCGCTGGATGTACTCACTCCTCCACCTTGCGCTGGATGTACTCACTCCTCCACCTTGCGCTGGATGTACTCACTCCTCCACCTTGCGCTGGATGTACTCACTCCTCCACCTTGCGCTGGATGTACTCACTCCTCCACCTTGCGCTGGATGTACTCACTCCTCCACCTTGCGCTGGATGTACTCACTCCTCCACCTTGCGTTGAATGTACTCACTCCTCCACCTTGCGCTGGATGTACTCGCAGTTGTTCATGAGGAACACGGCGCGCATCGCCTCATCGTGGAACGCGTCGCCCTTGCGCTCCAGATTCGCCTTCAGCGCCGCCAGCAGGTGCCGCGTGGCGGCGCCCACTCGCACGGCGCCCTCGTGGTGGTCGCCCCCCTCGTCGTACACGAGCAGCAGCGTGCCCAGATACAGCGTCCTGCGGGAGGAGGATGCACACGGCCACACACGCTGGACGGGTGAGTCGCTCAGGTGGAAGGTCGGATTCGAGGGGAGTGTGGGGTGGGGGGTTGGGGAGAGGAGGGGAGCGAATGGGAAGGGGAGAGCAGTGGGATGGGTGGCGCCATGGAAGGCACGTGCGTGAATGCACGTGAAGGTGGAGGCGGATGAAGGTGAGTGCGCAGTTGGCGCAGTTTACACATCATTTCAGAGTGTGAGAAGTGCATACGAATCAAATCAGAATGTGGTGTGTGTTTCCAAACCACCAGAGAGCGGGACATGGGGTGGGGGCACGCACTGGTCGAAGTAGAGCAGGATGAAGTTCACCACGTAGCTCGTCAGCGGGTGCACATCCGGACTGCCCCTCACAACCAGCTCCTGCCCCACCGACCCCCCACCCTCCTTGCCCTCCGTCTTGCTCTTCCCCCGCGCCTCGCCCTTGCCCTCCTCGTGCCCCTTGCTGACCTTCTTCGGCAGCAGCCCCCCCAGTATGCCCCTCCCGCTCGACGCGCTGCCGCTCACCGTCCGATTGTGCGACCCACCGCCCCCGTGGTGAGATCGATGGCTGGAATCCGATCTGTGGCTCCAGTCCAGATCCTCCTCCCCATGCCCCTCCCCGTCCTCCTCCCCCTTCCTCTCCTCCCCCCCCTCCTGGCCGGAGGCTGAAACCAAAGGAGGAGGAGGGGGGAAGGGGGCTGAGGAGGAGGAGGAGGAGGAGGAGGAGGAGAAGGAGGAGGGGGGGAGGGAGGGGGCGGGGGCAGGGGGCGGGGTGGGGTCGTGGAGCACGATGTGCTGGAAGTCAGCGATGGTGCCCCGCACCGTGCGGCACAGCGCCGAGCAGATGCCCACCAGATGCTGCCGCACCTCGCCGCCCGCCTCCCCAGGGAACTGCTTCTCCACCTGCCGGAAAAAGGGGTTGGGGAGGAGGAGTGGGGGGAAGAGGAGGTGGGGCCAGAGGCAAGGGACAGTGCAATGCAAGGGTACAGAAGAAGGATGGACGGCATGCAAACACACCGCTGGCTTGCTCTCGTGTATGGTATGGTATGGTATGGTGTATGAGTGAAGTTCACCCATGCTTGCATTGAACCAGAGGTGTTAGGTTGGGATGGTTGAAGACAGCGACGGGGCGAGTCGAGTTGACTTGAAAGGTGTGGGCGGAGCGGGGAAGGGAGGAGAGTCAGAGACGGCATTGCACGGCGCAACCCCGTGGTGCTGCACGGCGGGGCATGAGTGAGTGAGTGAGTGACTGCATGAGTGAGTGAGTGACTGACAGCATGAGTGAGTGAGTGAGTGACAGCATGAGTGAGTGAGTGACTGACAGCATGAGTGAGTGAGTGACAGCATGATTGAGTGAGTGACTGACAGCATGAGTGAGTGAGTGACAGCATGAGTGAGTGAGTGACTGACAGCATGAGTGAGTGAGTGACAGCATGAGTGAGTGAGTGACTGACAGCATGAGTGAGTGAGTGAGTGACAGCATGAGTGAGTGAGTGAGTGACTGCATGAGTGAGTGAGTGACTGACAGCATGAGTGAGTGAGTGACTGACAGCATGAGTGAGTGAGTGACAGCATGAGTGAGTGAGTGACTGATAGCATGAGTGAGTGAGTGAGTGACAGCATGAGTGAGTGAGTGACTGACAGCATGAGTGAGTGACTGACAGCATGAGTGAGTGAGTGACTGACAGCATGAGTGAGTGAGTGAGTGACAGCATGAGTGAGTGAGTGACTGACAGCATGAGTGAGTGAGTGACTGACAGCATGCGTGAGTGAGTGAGTGACAGCATGAGTGAGTGAGTGACTGACAGCATGAGTGAGTGAGTGACTGACAGCATGAGTGAGTGAGTGAGTGAGTGAATGAGTGAGTGAGTGAGTGACAGCATGAGTGAGTGAGTGACTGACAGCATGAGTGAGTGAGTGACTGACTGACAGCATGAGTGAGTGAGTGACTGACAGCATGAGTGAGTGAGTGACTGACAGCATGAGTGAGTGAGTGACTGACAGCGGGGCGGAGGTCGAGCAGTGCCTCGACCATTTCGAGCAGCGAGAAGACGTGCTCGGGGGCGCGCGGCATGTCGGCGATGATGTCGCCAAACGCGTGCAGCTGCTTCAGCGCCGGCACCGCCACTCTCGTCAGGCACTGCGCGCGCGCCGAGGGGGAAGGGGAGGGGCCCCGCCCGATGATGTCGGTGCACACCGCGTCCTCCGCTGCGATGAGCACCAGCATCTGCACGCAGGCCGAGGAGTGCAGCTTGAAGCGTGTCAACAGTAGGCGAGGCATAAAGTCCCAAGGCGTGCAGCTGTTTCAGCTGGCAGCAGCACGGCCGTCAGGCAACGACCAGCGGGAAGAGGAGTGGAGTGGGCGGAGTCAAGCAGGAGAAGCAGGAGAGGGGGAGAATTGGGAGAGGGGGGGAATTGAGAGGGGGGGAATTGAGAGGGGGGGAATTGAGAGGGGGGGAATTGAGAGGGGGGGAATTGAGAGGGGGGGAATTGAGAGGGGGGGAATTGGGAGAGGGGGAGAAGCGAATGCGCAGAGTGCAAGACTGCTGGGAACGGCGGCCGGGCCTGAGGCGCGACAAGAAGAGCTGGAGCCAAGCTGCAACAGGGTGGGGTAGCCCGTTGGGGCCAGGTGCTCATGTCTACTCCACCACCCGTTACTGCGAGCTTCAGCTTCTCCACCCCTCGTTACCATTAGCTTGAGGCTCTCCACCCCTTGTTACTGTTTGCTTGAGGTTCTCCACCCCTCATTACCGTGAGTTTGAGGTTCTCCACCCCTTGTTACTGTGAGTTTGAGGTTCTCCACCCCTTGTTACCGTGAGTTTGAGGTTCTCGACCCCTTGTTACCGTGAGTTTGAGGTTCTCCACCCCTTGTTACCGTGAGTTTGAGGTTCTCCACCCTTTGTTACCGTGAGTTTGAGGTTCTCGACCCAGCGCTTCATGAGGGGCTCGAGGTCGTTCCAGGGCAGCGCCACCACCTCGTCGCGCGTGAGCGCTGCACTGCCCAGCCGCTCCAAACACCGCAGCAGCGCTGATGCCCGCTGCTCCCTGCCCACAGCCATGGGCAGGAAGGCCAGGGTGGGTTGATTGGGGAGCGGGGAGAAGTGGGTGTGGGGACGTGGGTGTGGGGAGAGAGAGGGAGAGAGAGGAGGAAGGGGGATAAAAGGTGTTGATGGGGGAAGAAGGACTAGGATGAGCACGTGCTTGGACATACAAGACCCCGAGATGACTACGCATACAGTGTGCTGTGCATTGAGGGGTGGATGCGATGCGAGCAATGATAGGCCAGCACGACTCACTCGTACACTCGCAGGCATGCTGCCTCATACTCATTGCCCACCATCCATGCCGCCATGGCCCGAAGCGGCTTCACAGCCTCGGACCGAACCAGAGGCACGGGCGGCACCGCCTCGCCTGGCTTCATGCACGCTGCTGATTGGACGAGCGCCTTTCGATCCGGTACCAGGCTGCACGCCAGGCAGAACGACAGTGGCGTGAGGTGGGGTGGGGTGGGTTGCGATTGGGTGGAGTTGAGGTGGGGGCGGATGGATTGGGGAGGGAGTGGGGAGGGAAAGGGATGGCGTGGGACGGAAGGGTGGGGGGAGGGCGATGGAACGAGAGCGGAGGGAGGAAGGAACGAGGGGGGAGATGGGAAAGGAGAGTGGAGGGAGGCGGAACGGGGGGAAGGGAGGGAGAGGGAGAGGGTAGGGAGGGGGGATGGAATGAGGATGGAATGAGGAGGAAATGGACAGCAGTAACAAGCGAACACCTACCCCTAGCCCACCTTGCACCGGACAGCACCTCTCCGAACTCCTCTTTCAGTCGCCCCACCGCATCGTCCATCAACCCCCTCCCCTGCCGCAGCTCGGTGCGGCAGCTGCCCAGATAGCTGTGCGCCTCGAAGAACCGCAGCGCGTCCAATAGCTTATCCAGCGCCGTGAGGTACGCGTCTAGCCGGTTCTTAGGGCCGGGCGCGAGCTCTGGCGCCACCTGATTGGTCGGGAAGGAGGACGGAGCAGAAAACAATCTTAATTCTCAAAAAGATAGGCGGTGTACGGTTGCGCCAGTAAGGAAACCTTACGACAAGCCTGCAATGCACCACGCGTACCAACGTCGGCGTATCAAGCTTCTCAAGCAGAGTGCGTGGATCTCGTTTAACGATGTTCTCGAAGCCCTTGTTACCACCACCGCCCGTTACAACGCCATTCGCTGTCTCTACCTCACAACCCTCCTCCCCCATTTCCGCGGCATCACCACTCCCGCGCATCGTGGCTGCTTACGCCAAAAAATTGTTTGTCAGATGAAAGTTCGCATCGAACGAAAAAATACGAAAAGGAAAATGAGATTTTGACGACAGCCTGTGCTGTCATCGCTTGCGGGTAGTAGGGCGGGAGAAGCTTTGTACTTTCCGTGTCATGAAGTTCTCGGTAAAATTGAGTAGTTGTAAGGGCGTGGCACACTTTCCCGGTCAACACAGTCGAGCCGAAGTTTTGGCCGAATTTCAAGTTCGCCAAGATTTGCGGAAAACGTGTTCTAAACGGCCACTCAAACGCCTGTGACAACACCTCACGAGCCAGTCGAATTTTTTGGTACCACCCTGATGAATTCGAGAGTCTGGCGCTTGTAATCTTGACATTGCAGAGCTAGATTACACGCGGCACCCTTGAAAGCAGGGCTTGAGACATTTTTCACGCAGGCGATTTTGGCCTGCGAAAATCAGTTTCGTTTACCGAAAATAGCTCCACTCTCTCGCGCAGCTGCTGTGGGGGGGCAGTGAAAAATGTGCCGTGAAAAAATTAATCAATTCATGCAATATTTTCGACTTGGGATCTAGGAAATGTGCACACGTGTCTGACTGTTCAAGTCAAAAAAAATCGGCCATCGACGTAACCCGCTTTACACACGAATCTATCCGTTGAAAATCGCAAGCTGGACACTTTCGCAAAGTTCAGCCCGTTGCATGTTGGCTGGATAAATGTGCCACGCCCTAAAATGCACTTGCGGGTCTCAATTCATGGCATCGACGCAACGTTTCCGCTTGCTTGTATTCCGTGTACTCTTGTTATGGGTGCAATGGATCGAGGTAGCGAGGATTGCACTAAGGGCGTGGAACATTTTCACAAACACGTCAAATGGTCGAATTTGTGGTTGCTTCTCGCGATTGCGAAGCATTTAGGGAAACCCCGCCGTTTGACATGCCGAGTATTCACCCTCACTCGACCGAAAGTCAATGGTAATGGGGGGGGGAGGTGGGGGAGCGAATGTAAATGATGATCGTTCCGAGGGTGTTTCCTGGCCCGATTTCACCACCTCCCGCTACAACCGAAGATGGGAAATTTCGGGAGCGAGGGGGGGAAGGCTCCGACGGGTGTTTTCTCCCCCAGCTCCTCTCTTACATCTGTCCCAAATCCCCGTGAAGAGTGGTTGCCGAAAGAGTGGGGGGCGAGGGAGGCAAAATTTGCCTGAGGAGGAAGGTGGGGAGGGTAAATGTGCAGCTTCCAAAAGGTGCACATCCATGAGGATAAATGAGCGTTCTATTGGCATTTACCTTCGTTTTGGTTCGGAGGGCAAATAGGTGGCTCGGCACAGTTTTACGGGCTGACCGACATGTCGAGCCAAAAATGCAGAGAGGGGAAGTTTCCTATTTCCCCTCGCTCCCCCTCCGCCAGTGCCTAGAGAACACCACCAATGGTATTTCCCGTAGGATTGTTGTCGCCTACACCTACACTGTCCAGAGAAGTGGGACAACGTTTAACTTCGAATGTTACTCCCGAAAGTGTTTTCCAACCCCACTCTACTTGCAAAACACACAACTATCCGCTCCCCCTGAAGTTCCACACCCCTTTGGAATGCTTAAACTGGGATCAGATGTTTTTTCTTATTGGGGGTGGTTTTTAGTGGGTGCCCCACGTGCTAGCGAACAGAATATATTAAAAATCTCGCATCCTTCGCATCTCTGTTACACTCTTCTCATTCGCCAGATCCAACCATACGGGCGACCATTTGGCACGATCGTAAAAATGTTCCACGCCCTAAGGTGTCAAACTAGTACAAAATGTGAGCAAATGCATGAGCGAACATTTATACGCGAAACATGCAAACGGTAACGCGGTGCGTGCGAGCTAGCTAGTGCTACGCTGGCAGCGAGGTTCGGGCTAGTCCCGAAGCGTAGGCCGACACGGCCGGGCCAGCAGTGCGAGGTTTGGTGAAACAGTGCGCGCGAAGTTGGCGAAGCCCCGTTAGCAGTAACGGGCGAACAACGGCTGCTGCTGTACGAGATGTTGCCGGTCGTGGAAGTGTCAGATGTTGTAGCCTGTAGTGAGGTTTGTGATAGGGGGTACAAATGTTAGGGTTTGCTATATGTACCCCAACCCACATCAATGAACCAACACTTTCATTCTTGACATGGTATCACCTAGGTTAGGATCCTGTGGGATCCCGCTCCTCCCGTTCACGTTCGTTCCGCCGAGCCTGTCACCCTCGTTCGTTAGTGCCCGCTACGCCGACTCGCCTACCGTGTAGCGTAGCGCCTTCTCCCCGCTCCCTGTCCCGTCGCACCCTCTCCCCCACTGCCCGTCGAGTCGCGCTCTCCCCCCCTGCCCGTCGCGTCGCGTCGCCGTCTCCCGCTGCCCGTCGCGTCGCGTCGCCCCCCCGCTGCTCGTCGCGTCGCGCCGTCCCCCGCTGCTCGTCGCGTCGCGTCCCCCCCCCCCCCCCCGCTGCCCGTCGCGTCGCGTCGTCCCCCTGCGCGGCTGCCCTACCTGCCCGCCCGTCGCGTCGCGCCTGACCTACCTGCCCGCCCGCGCATCCCTTCGCCCGCTCGCCCGCTGCGCCCGTGCCTCCCTTTCTGCCTGCGCGCTTGCGTGCCTCGCCGGCCGCCGCGCCTACCCGTTTCGCCTGCCGCCGTGCCTGCTTGTTAGGCTCGCCGCGGGCCCGCTCTTCACGCCGCCGCGTTTGCCCGTTTTTGCCCGTCGCCGCGTCTGCTCGATAGGCCTACCGCGAGCCCTCTCTCCGCTCTACTGCGCTCTGCCTCTTGTCGCTACTGCTTCCGCTATGGCGACCCCTAGGGTTCTTCGCTTTGACGCTGACGGTAGACCGCTCGAGTTTCCGGTCTGGATCCTACGTGCGCGTCGCCTTTTAGAGAGTCAGGTCCAGGCAGGCGAGTCCCTCTGGGCGCACGCTACTGGTGACCTTCCTGCGCCCGACGACCCTACGCCTTTAGGCCCTGCCCCTGACGACGCCGCCAGAGACCGCTTTACCCGCCAGCGTGCTGACCTGATAGCGTGGAAGTCGCGTGACGCTGCGGCCTGGAATAATCGCTCTTAGCAGCCTCCTCCCTGAGTCTGAGGAGGCCCACTTCACTCAGGTTCGCACTGCTAGTGAGTTCCTGACTGCGATTAAGGCCCGCTACGCTACTCCCACCACTGTCTCTCTTGGCCGACTCTTCCTACCGTTCTTGTTCCCTGACCTCGCCTCTTTTGTGCGTTCTGCTGACTTGATTGCTCACCTCCGCTCGCTCGATTCTAGCTACCGCGCTGCTTGCACTGAGGCACAGCTTGCACTGCTTCCTCCTCCCATGGCGATTACTATCTATTTCATCGCCACTAGCCTCCCTGACCGCCTTGCCTCGGTTCGTGACATGCTTCTTCTGAAGCAACCCAGTGAGCTCACTATCGAGGTTCGTGAGTCTGCGCTCAAGGACGTCGAGAGCAACCTCCGCTCCGTAGCCTCCGCCTCTGGTGCTGTGCCCCCTCCACTGTTTCACGGGTGCACTGTCCCTCAGCTGCCCACTTTTACTGCCTCACTCGCCACTTCCACTACTGACGTGACCGCAGCTGCTGCTACGACTTCTTCGCGGTCTCGAGGTAGGGGTGGCAAGAGGGGCAGTCAGAGTGCGGGCGGCTGCGGCGGTGGCGGCGTTGGTGGCGGAGGTGGTGGGGGTGGTGTGCCGACTGGTGGCGGCGGGAGCGCAGGGACTGGAGAGGCGTCTCGTGCAGCGGCCAGTGACTCCCCTACGGCAGCTGGTGGAGGCGACACCCGGACTCGTCAGCCTCCTCCTAGTCCGCCGGCCGCGGTGGGTGGAGCAGCGGCGTGGTACCTGGCCCAGCGGCAGCAGCAGCTGGAGCAGCAGGAGCCCCTCCCCTCGCAGCAGCCCTCGCAGCAGCAGCGGCAGGCAGGTTTCGGGGCCAGGACAGCGTCAGCCCCAGCGCGGTGTGGTTCACCCTCCGTGCACCTATCACGTTCTGACAGGTGCTCGCCGAGGCCAGCCTTGTGGCCGCACCCACCCTCCTGGTCAGTGCTTTGCTCAGCTCACTGACACGGTTCACTTGGCCTTCGGCGTTGGCGGCCCTGCCCCTGACTGGTTTCCTCTTGTTCAGACGTACGGCTCTGCCCTTTGGGGCATGTCGGCTTCTCAGTTGCTTGATCTCTTAGGAACTCCTCATGCTATGTATGCTGTTGTTGACTCTAGTGCTTCTGACTCTGTTTACTCGAGTGTTGTTAGCTTAGGTGCTAGTCTTGCTGAGTTGCCTGTTGCTAGTGTAGGCACTTGTGTAGACACTAGTCCAGGAGCTCGTTTGGAGGACGCTTCGCTGTCTTTCACTTTGGACTCTGGGGCTTCGCACTGCTTCTTCAGGGACCACACGACACTTACTCCGCTTCCTGCGCCTGTCTCTGTGGCACTGGCTGATCCCACCTCGGGACCAGTCACTGCTCGCTACACTACTACTCTTCCGTGCCCTGCTGTTCCCTCTGGGTCTCTGACTGGCTTCCACGTCCCCTCGTTCTCGAGGAACTTGGTGGGCGTGCGGCCGCTTGTGAGTCAGCACGTGGGTGCGTGGATTAAGCCGTCTGGTGAGACGGCGGTTTGTGTTGACGGAGACACTTACACGCCTCTTGCCACCTTTACTGCTGAGCCGGGCTCTGGTCTCTACACACTGTCAAACATTGTATGTTTATATTGTCTAGGCTGTAGTGGGTTACACCTTAGGGGGTACAGAAAGTTAGGGTTTCCTACTTGTACCAAACTCTGTTCTAGTTCATTCATTCCTGCTCAGTTATTTCTGACATGGTTTCAGAGCAGGTCCTTCGCTAGGACTGTTCTTAGGGCCCACCGACCTATCTACCTGCTTACCTTCGATTGTTTACGGCCCCGCTGGCCCCGTCGATCTAGCAAGATCTAGCGGCCCTGCGGCCCCGTCGAAAATTTTTTTTTTAGCGGCCTCTCACGGCCCCCGTCGCGTCGCCCCTTAGCGCCCCGATCGGCCCCGT